AATCACTGTGACTGGATGGCATTCATCCAAAGGTTCTAAAAGAACTCAAATGGGAAACTGCAGAACTATTATCTGTGGTTTGTAACCTATCCCTTAAATTGGCTTCTATACCTAATGACTGGAAGATAGCTAATGTGACATCATATTTTAAAAGGGCTCTAGAGGCGATCCTGGCAATTACAGACCAGTAAGTCTAACTTCAGTACCGGGCAAATTAGTCGAAACAATAGTAAAGAATAAAATTGTCAGGCACGTAGAAGAACATAATTTGTTGGACAAAAGTCAACATGGTTTCTGAAAAGGGAAATCATGTCTTATTAATCTATTAGGGTATGTTTACACTACCACCCTAGTTCAAACTAGGGTGGTTAATTTAGTCAATCGAAGTTGCAAATGAAGCCCGGGATTTAAATATCCCGGGCTTCATTTGCATCTTGCCGGGCGCCGCCATTTTTAAATCCCCAGTAGTTTGGACTCCGTGCCCGCAGCTACACGCGGCACAGAGTAGGTAGTTTGAATTAGGCTTTCTAATTCGAACTACCGTTACTCCTTGTGGACATCCTGTTTTGTAATAAGCCATAAATCTGGAGTCTTTATTAAGAATGTGACTTTTAATGTCCAGAAAAGTTCTGAATTTAAGCACACAAGCTTATCTTTTGAAGTTGTTGTGCAGGTTTCCTTTGAGAATGAAGACTGCTAAATCAGATATAGAAGTGATGGTTTGATGAAAATTGTTTACCCACTGATGATATGATTATTTTATCATTTTTCTATGTGAGTTCATTTGACAACATAGCCATTATCTGGTTTCACCCAGATAGTTCTTGTTTAGTGAACTGCATGAAGTACACCACATGAGATAGGCATTTGTAGGACCTGGGCATCTGGGAAGGTATGTTGTGGAAAGTATAAATCATTGTAGCAGTGGAGATATGGCTCCATGTATTGTGGCAGGGTATGATGACATTTTGAGTTGAGCTATTTTGGTCGGTGAGAAGCTTACTTCTTTTGATGGATTTGGTTTAATGGCAGAAGAGACTTCAGGGATATGGACCCCATAGAGTATGGGGCTGTAATTGCTTAATGATACCCTATATGAGTGCCAGTGTGGGCAGGTAGTTGACAATTAGGGATTTGTGGTTGTGTATTGAGGTGGGTTCTCTTGCAGTGTTTGAATGGCCTGTTCCATGATGCAATCTACTTCTCTGTTGAAGTGTCCTTGTTTAGTGAAGGTGGTTTTAAATATGTTAAAATCTATATCCCAGACACTCTTTTTGGAGCACAGTCTGTAGTATGTGAGTGCTTGGCAGTAGATAAAAGTTCTATGAGTGTGTTTGAGGTGGTTACTAGATCTGTGAAGGTAAGTGTGGTGACTCACCAATGCAGGTAAGCATGTGATCAAAATTAGTAATGTGAGCAGTGTCACTGACCTCATTATAAATGTTTGCATGCTCACAGATAACCATTCAAGAGAGAGGTCTTGGAGTCATTGTGGATAGTTCTCTGAAAACATCCACTCAATGTGCAGTGGCAGTAAAAAAAAAAATGTAATGGAATGTTAGAAATAATTTAAAAAGGAATAGAGAATAAGACGGAATATCTTATTGCCTCTATATAGAACCATTGTATGCCCACATTTTGAATACTGCATGCAGATGTGGTAACCTCATCTCAAAAAAGATATATTGGCAATGGAAGTGGTTCAGAAAAGGGCAACAAAAATGATTAGGAAATTGGAATGGGTGCCATATGAAGAGAGATTAAAAAGACTGGGATTTTTCAGCTTAGAAAAGAGGAGACTAAGGGGAGATATAATAGAGGTCTATAAAATCATGACAGGTACAGAGAAAGTGAATAAGGAAAAGTTATTTACTTGTTCCCCTAACATAAGAACTAGGGGTCACCAAATAAAATTAATAGGTAGCAGGTTTAAAACAAACAAAAGGAAGTTTTTTGTCATGCAGTGCACAGGTAAACTGTGGAACTCCTTGCCAAAGGATGTTGTGAAGACCAGGACTTTAACAGGCTTCAAAAAAGAACTAGATAAATTCATGGAGGTTAGGTGCATTAATGGCTATTAGCCAGGAAGGGTAGGAATGGTGTCCCTAGCCTCTGTTTGTCAGAGGCTGGAAATGGATGACAGGAGAGGGATCACTTGATGATTACCTGTTCTGTTCACTCCCTCGTATCTAGCTTTGGCCATTGCTGGAAGACAGGATACTGGGCTAGACGGACCTTTGGTCTGACCAGTGTGGCCGTTCTTAAGTTCTTATGTTCATGCTTAGGTGCTTTGGTAGTTTGGTCCAGAGCATCCAGCCCCATTTGGAGCGGGTCTTTGTTTTACAATGGTTTAGTTACACAAGTAAAAAAGAGAGGTTAGTGCTATCATAGTAAGATATTTCTGTTACATGTGTGTACATCTCATTGTAATGTCAGGCTGTGATAGTTTCTTGAATACTAAATCTCTATAGATAGTTTGACATTTATTTTTTACATCTGAGAAGCTAGAAAATACCTTCTGAACTATTTTTCCACTGAGTGCATCTGTACAAGTTTTGTGCAAAGCCAAACTGTTTCTATTGCTATATGTTGATAGGAATTAATATAGACTATATAAAACCTACTTCCCCTTGCAAAGACTTAAACTACTTCCTTATTATAAAATAAAATTTAGGGGTGTTGATTAATCATAATTTACTCAAGCAATTAACTCGAAAATTAATTCTGATTAAAAAAATAATTGTGATTAATCATTCTGTTAAATAATAAAATACCAGTTGAAAGTTATTAAATACTTTGTATTTTTCTACATTTTCAAATATATTGATTTCAATTATGACAAAATACAAAAAATACAGTGCTCACTTTATATTATTTTTATTACAAATATTTGCACTGTAAAAAATAAACAGAAGAAATAGCATTTTCCAGTTCACCTAATACTGTAATACACTCTGGATATGTCTACACTACCCCGCTAGTTCGAACTAGCGGGGGTAATGTAGTCATCCGCACTTGCAAATGAAGCCCGGGATTTGAATTTCCCGGGCTTCATTTGCATGAAGCCGGCCAGCGCCATTTTTAAATGCCGGCTAGTTCGGACTCCGTGAGGCGTACAGCTAGTTTGGATTAGAAGCCTAATCCGAACTAGCTAGTCCGTGCTGTGTGTAGCCGCGTGGCATGGAGTCTGAACTAGCCGGCATTTAAAAATGGCGCTGGCCGGATTCATGCAAATGAAGCCCGGGAAATTCAAATCCCGGGCTTCATTTGCAAGTGCGGATGACTATATTACCCCCGCTAGTTCGAACTAGCGGGGTAGCGTAGACATACCCTCTGTCATGATTATGAGGGTTAGCCAGCAGCCTGGGGATTAAGGGGTTAACTACACCTAGCCAGGTGGAGTGACCAGTAGGAATGTAGGTGGGAATTTCAAACTGGGACAAAGGAATTTGGGTTTTTCTTTTCTCCCTTTTGTCTCTGTGAGTGAGTTCTCTGCAGCTACAGAGAGGGACAAGCATGTCTCTCTCTCCAAGACACCATTCTTCATTTTCTGTAAGTATGGTAAAGTTTAGGTAGTTTCGTTGGGCTTTATTGTTTTAAGGGTTGGGTATGGGATCTGAGATCTGGCACTGCTTAAAAGATGTTTTGGCTTTTCTTTGTAACTAAGTTCTAGGCCCATGGAGTTTCTCCATGAGTATATTTTGTTACCT